CATTCAGAAACATGACTTTTCATATCACTGCTATGCTGATGACACTCAACTCTACCTCTCATTCCATCCTGATGATCCGACAATAGCTGCTCGCATCTCAGCATGTCTAACAGACATTTCTTGTTGGATGACGGACCATCACCTTCAACTCAACCTGGCTAAGACAGAACTGCTTGTGGTTTCAACAAACCCATCACTTTATCAAAATTTAACCATCCAGTTAGGCTCATCAACCATAACTCCTTCAAAAACAGCTAGAAACCTTGGAGTTGTGATTGATGATAAGCTGAATTTCTCAGACCACATTGCTAATACTGCCCGGTCCTGCAGATTTGCTTAATACAACATTAGGAAGATCAGGCCCTTTCTTTCAGAACATGCAACACAACTCCTTGTTCAAGTTTTTGTTCTATCCAGGCTGGACTATTGCAATGCTCTCTTCCAGCCACTTCTATCAAACCTCTACAATTAATCCGAAATGGCGCTGCAAGATTGATCTTTAATGAGCCGAAAAGAACGCACGTCACACCTCTGTTCATCAATTTGCACTGGCTACCAGTAGCTGCTTGCATTAAATTCAAGGCATTAATGGTTGCCTAGAAAACCACCACTGGCTCTGCACACATTTACCTAAATTCATTACTTCAGAGTTATGTACCCTCTAGAAGCTTGCATTCTGCAAGTGAATGGCATATTATTGTGCCATCTCAAAGAGGCACAAAATCACTTTCACTGACTTTTACTTTAACTGTTCCCAGCTGCTCAAATCAGTCCGAGCAGCTGAGTCCTTAACCATCTTCAAGAAACGACTACAAACACATCTGTTCCACCTTTATTTGACCCTCTAACTCTAACACTTTCTATTCTATTTCAATTCTACTTTATCTTCATTTAATTTTTTTTATTAAAAAATAAAAATAAAAAACAAACAAAAACTAGCTGTCTATTTTTTCTATTTTATCTACTTGTTTTTCTTTGTGTGTGTGTGTGTGTGTATATAATATATGTGTGTGTGAATAATATATATGTACGTATATGTGTGTACATTATATATATATATATACACACATACACACCTTGCTACGTGTACTGCGTTAGGCTAACCGAGACTTGTCATTTGCACTTATTTATTGTTGCTCTTTTGTTAGTTTTGACTGCTTTTATTCTCCTCATTTGTAAGTCGCTTTGGATAAAAGAATTGAATATTAAATGATTAAATAAATAAATAAAAAGTTAGTTCATGCTAACTTCGACATTTACATACTGGGCATTTTTAAAATCAAAAATTGTATCCGTTAACAGTAGTTAATGCACTCTGAACTAACAGGAACCAAATGAAAAATTGCATTTTTATTCACTAACATTAACAAAGATTAATAAATGCTGTAAAACATGAATTGCTCATTCTTAGTTCAGTTTTGCTAATGAGTGTTACTAGTCTGACCATATTATAAGTGTTACTGAATGTGTTGATGTGGTTACTATGTAAGCCCGTTTCCGCCACTGAATAAAAAATAAAACAAGGTAATTGTGACTTTTTATCTCACAATTCTCACTATTTTTCTCAGAATTGCGAGTTCATACCTTGCAGTTCTGACTTTATAACTCGCAATTTTGACTTTATAACTCGCAATAGTAAGTTTATATCACGCAATTCTGACTTTATAACTTGCAATTTTGACTTTATAACTCGCAATAGTAAGTTTATAATACAACATTAGGAAGATCAGGCCCTTTCTTTCAGAACATGCAACACAACTCCTTGTTCAAGTTTTTGTTCTATCCAGGCTGGACTATTGCAATGCTCTCTTCCAGCCACTTCTATCAAACCTCTACAATTAATCCGAAATGGCGCTGCAAGATTGATCTTTAATGAGCCGAAAAGAACGCACGTCACACCTCTGTTCATCAATTTGCACTGGCTACCAGTAGCTGCTTGCATTAAATTCAAGGCATTAATGGTTGCCTAGAAAACCACCACTGGCTCTGCACACATTTACCTAAATTCATTACTTCAGAGTTATGTACCCTCTAGAAGCTTGCATTCTGCAAGTGAATGGCATATTATTGTGCCATCTCAAAGAGGCACAAAATCACTTTCACTGACTTTTACTTTAACTGTTCCCAGCTGCTCAAATCAGTCCGAGCAGCTGAGTCCTTAACCATCTTCAAGAAACGACTACAAACACATCTGTTCCACCTTTATTTGACCCTCTAACTCTAACACTTTCTATTCTATTTCAATTCTACTTTATCTTCATTTAATTTTTTTTATTAAAAAATAAAAATAAAAAACAAACAAAAACTAGCTGTCTATTTTTTCTATTTTATCTACTTGTTTTTCTTTGTGTGTGTGTGTGTGTGTATATAATATATGTGTGTGTGAATAATATATATGTACGTATATGTGTGTACATTATATATATATATATACACACATACACACCTTGCTACGTGTACTGCGTTAGGCTAACCGAGACTTGTCATTTGCACTTATTTATTGTTGCTCTTTTGTTAGTTTTGACTGCTTTTATTCTCCTCATTTGTAAGTCGCTTTGGATAAAAGAATTGAATATTAAATGATTAAATAAATAAATAAAAAGTTAGTTCATGCTAACTTCGACATTTACATACTGGGCATTTTTAAAATCAAAAATTGTATCCGTTAACAGTAGTTAATGCACTCTGAACTAACAGGAACCAAATGAAAAATTGCATTTTTATTCACTAACATTAACAAAGATTAATAAATGCTGTAAAACATGAATTGCTCATTCTTAGTTCAGTTTTGCTAATGAGTGTTACTAGTCTGACCATATTATAAGTGTTACTGAATGTGTTGATGTGGTTACTATGTAAGCCCGTTTCCGCCACTGAATAAAAAATAAAACAAGGTAATTGTGACTTTTTATCTCACAATTCTCACTATTTTTCTCAGAATTGCGAGTTCATACCTTGCAGTTCTGACTTTATAACTCGCAATTTTGACTTTATAACTCGCAATAGTAAGTTTATATCACGCAATTCTGACTTTATAACTTGCAATTTTGACTTTATAACTCGCAATAGTAAGTTTATATCACGCAATTCTGACTTTATAACTCGCAATTTTGACTTTAAAACTCACAATTGCGAGTTTATATCACGCAATTCCAATAGTAAGTTTATATCACGCAATTCTGACTTTATAACTTGCAATTTTGACTTTATAACTCGCAATAGTAAGTTTATATCACGCAATTCTGACTTTATAACTTGCAATTTTGACTTTATAACTCGCAATAGTAAGTTTATATCACGCAATTCTGACTTTATAACTTGCAATTTTGACTTTATAACTCGCAATAGTAAGTTTATATCACGCAATTCTGACTTTATAACTCGCAATTTTGACTTTATAACTCGCAATAGTAAGTTTATATCACGCAATTCTGACTTTATAACTCGCAATTTTGACTTTATAACTCGCAATAGTAAGTTTATATCACGCAATTCTGACTTTATAACTCGCAATTGCGTGTTATAAAGTCAGAGTTGCGAGATTTGAACTCGCAATTCTGAGAAAAAAAGTCAGAATTGTGATTTTAACCCTTAAATGCATACCTTGGGTCTTTAGTGACCCGGGACATCATTCTCTACCCGCTCTCTCCTTCATTTTTTTTTTAAGTTAGACATCAACTTTCTTAGTATTCCTCAATCTATTAATTATAAACAATACAACAACAACAACAACAAAAAAACAGTAAAATATAAAGGAATGCCAGTTTTCGGATTCATTTTTTGTAAAATGTGTATAGGGTCGCTAGAGACCCGAGGTATGTACATGTGTAAGTATTTTTTCCTGCGCAACTAGGCCTATATTTACATATTTGATGACTCGATATGTGTAATGTATCTTTCTTCCTCAAGGTGGCACTATTTGATACACAATGATGACGTGACGTTTCACTCATAATTACCGAAGCAATAAAACAAACAAATATCATCAGCAAAAGTTAAAGTAGTTTTACTGCAGAGCTATTACTATACGCAATTAAATATAAATGTCACTGTCATTTGATGCTGGATGTGGTTAATAAGCTGCCAGTGATCAAAATATTGAATATGAAGTCATTGAAAACGATAGTTTTGAGAATATGGTTGAGATCGTTTCGGGTGGGCTTTTTTTTTTTTTTTTACACTTAAACTGCCAGTCAAAAAATTTTGAATAGTAATAATAATTTATATTATTTTTTACATTTTTAAGAAGTCTCTTCTCAACATTTATTTTATTATTTAGTGACAATTCAGCTTTGATCACAAGAATAAATGACATTTTACAATATATTAACCCTTTGAGGATCATAACCATTTATGATTCGTCATAAATATTCCCCTTTTTAGAGCTAATAAATAATAATAAACGTTACAAGTGACATACACAAAAGTAATGACTCGACTCCAAAACCTCAGCAAGGAGAGTCAAATGGTAGCATTTGATAGAGAAAACTTTTACATTTTTAGAAATTATATTTATTGTATTACATTTGGACATTCTCATGCTGAGAAACTACTGATGAAAGACAAAAAAAAATGAAAGTGTGCTCAAGGGAAATTTCACGTCTTTCTTATTTGACATGCAATAACTCATATGTTATAAACTGCACTGAGTAAATACAGCTGGATAAAACAAAACCTGTGCCCGTCTTCATTTCAGACTGCAAAGCAACAACATGTGATTCTTTTAAAGGGGGTGATTCTTTCCTATACCCACTGTATCTTGTGATCGACACAATGGATTATGTTGATTTCGGACTCATTTCAATCGGGAGCATCCACTGTAAGTAGTGACGTGTCATGTTCCACAATCTGAGCATGTTTCATTAACTTCATACGTTTGTATATTCTTGGCTACATGTGCATCTGTGGTGTCTCAAGTTTATTATGACTCCAGGGATATCTTTAGATCTGAGTGACTCTTTTTTTTTTTGATTTAAGAATGTTTTATGAAGTTACAAGCAAAAACATGACATAAATTCCACATCTGTATATTATGTACAATAGGGGTGGGGTGGGTTACCTTGTGTTTGAGAGTTGCGAGAGCTTCCCAAAACCACGCAGATCTCAGCAGGAATGTTGCCATCACTCGCTTTGCCGTTACTGGCCAAAGACTCAGGAGACGCCACCTCCGTCTTTACGCTCACTGAGGGAAGCTTTGGAGACGTTGTCGGTACCGCCTGTGTGGCTCCAGCCTCTGTGGGGACAACAGCCGTGTCCTTCGGCTCCTGGCTGGGGTTCGGCACCTCCTGACAACTCATGACTCCAGGTCTGCTCAGAAGGAGCTAAGGGAACTGCAAATGACAAAAACAGGAAGAGGATTTTAAGTTCCCAGAGAGCTCAAATAAATACTTTAAATATTTCTACATGCATTATATTTAAATATGTTGGCGCATCATAAAGAGGAAGATGCGACAAAGAAGACCTAAGACAGTTGAGCAACTAGAAGCCTGTATTAGACAAGAATGGGACAACATTCCTATTCCTAAACTTGAGCAACTTGTCTCCTCAGTCCCCAGACGTTTGCAGACTGTTATAAAAAGAAGAGGGGATGCCACACAGTGGTAAACATGGCCTTGTCCCAACTTTTTTGAGATGTGTTGATGCCATGAAATTTAAAATCAACTTATTTTTCTCTTAAAATGATACATTTTCTCAGTTTAAACTTTTGATATGTCATCTATGTTGTATTCTGAATAAAATATTGAAATTTGAAACTTCCACATCATTGCATTCTGTTTTTATTCACAATTTGGAATCGGAAACTTTTTTGGAATCGGGTTTGTACATTTATTATATATATATATATATAAAACTTCATGTCTTGTAAACTATTAGAGAACTATAAGAACAACTTTAGAGAAGAACTAGAACCAATCATAAATTCAGAAACTCCACACTGCAGCCTAACCCAATTTAACGCTGAATTTAGTAACGCAGAGGAAGTGTTTTAAAAGCATACGGTATTTGCCTTCTGTGTGGGAGACATTCATAATAGTGCAGAAGATCAGAGATTTATGTTTAGGAGAAGAACCAAAACTACTGTATATATGCGTCGCTCAGAACTCTCTGCAGAGAAATAAAATCAGCTTAATACATGCATCTGCACTGCAGTCTACAGAATGTGTGACCGCACAACATGGAGAAAAAAAAATTCAGGTGGAATTATTTCTATTTTTCTCTTATATTATTCCTGAACCTATGCCCAAAGATTTTTTTTTTATCCGTTTTTCCTCTCTTCAAAGCTTCAGACAGACAGACAGACAGACAGAGAGAGAGAGAGAGAGAGAGAGCTTGTAGCTTGCAGTACCAACCCAGTCCATCAGGTGCCACTATCATTTGGTACTGCATGCTAATTATTAGCTGGCCATCTTCTCTCTTTCTCTCTCTCTCTCTCTCTTCTGGTGCCGTCTCTTGAGGGGAAAAACAGAGGGACCGTTTTAAAAAGAGAAACAAAAAATGGTTTCTGAAGAGTTTTTGGGAGACAGGAGTTTTTCTTTTTTTTTCTCCCCATTGTGATTCAGGGCTTCAAATTTTTCTTTGAGGAGGGAAGAGAGGCAGTTCCTTCCTCGCCAAAAAACATCACAAAACATGAGATTGAGCAATGCATAGATCACAATTTATAAAAAAAATTTCTTACGTAAGACTGTCCAACAGCAGCACATAAAGATGCTTCCAGCATGACATGAATGTGAGGGGCAGGGCAGGGTTAACGAAAACTAAATATAGTTAACTACAACTGAAACCATTCAAATATATATACTTTATTTATTTATTTTTTCAGTTCATGTAATTTAATCTTTTTATCAGCTAGATGCTGAGAGAGCAGACGTTCCCAGAACGTTGTAGGGTGGTTATTTTTAAAATAACCTAAAAATAGCTGATACAGAACATTCCCTAATGATTATTCTTAAGTTATTTTTATAACCCTGTGTAAACTATCTTTCCAGTCAAATGTTGCAGATATTTTTTGTGTAATGAGCACAGAGTCATGAAATTTGTTTAAATACAGCATTTACTAAAATACAGAAATTTGATCAATCAAAACAAGTTTTAAATTATAATATTAAGTATAGGGTTAAGCATAGAGTGATAACAGAAATCATAAATGTGTGGGTTTCATCTTCATTTACTGATCTGCAGGCGCTTCTCCAGCTCACACTTTCACCTGTCTTCCAGAGAGAGCCCCTCGCTCGAGGAATTTAAAAATTAATGGTCATTTCGTTTTACTGTCTGTCTGACTCGTTCGTTTATCAGTCTCTATATTGAATGATTACTTAAGGGATAGTTCACCCAAAAATGTTTCTGGGTCATTAATTCTGTCATTAATTACTCGCCCTCATGTCGTTCCAAACCTCTAAGACCTCCGTTCATCTTCAGAACACAAATTAAGATATTTTTGATGCATTCTGACAGCTCTCTGACTCTCCATAGACAGCAAGGGTACTACCATGATCAACATCCAGAAACGTAGCAAGGAGATTGGTAAAATAAGCCATGTGATACCAGGGGTAAACAGCGTATGTTGTTCTGTGTCAGCTGCGCCCCGCCAAATGGCTGCAATATAACAAAGAGTGAAAAATGTAAGGGGGTCTGAATACTTTCCGTACCCACTGTACGTCTTCTACGTGCTTTGATTTGAACGAAAACAACGTATGGTGCGGCTGACACAGAACAACATACGCTGTTTGCGTTCAGTGGATATTCTCCAAAATAGCGCTAGGGTGACAAAGGAGAGGAGACAAAGTGTTGAATAAAGTCGTTATTTTATTTTTTTT